TGGAAGCCTGCTATAAGATCCCCCCGGAGCCTTCTCTTCTCCAGGCTGAACAGCCCCAACTCTCTCAGGCTGTCTTCATAGGAGAGGTGCTCTAGCCCTTGGATCATCTTCGTGGCCCTCCTCTGGACCCGCTCCAGCAGCTCCGTGTCCTTCTTGTGCTGGGGACTCCAGAGCTGAACGCAGTATTCCAGGTGGGGTCTCACGAGAGCAGAGCAGAGGGGCAGAATCACCTCCCTTGACCTGCTGGTCGCATGGATTCTTTTGATGCATCCCAGGATACGGTTGGCTTTCTGGGCTGCCAGTGCACATTGCCGGCTCATGTTGAGCTTCTCATCCACCAGCACTCCCAAGTCCTTTTCCTCAGGGCTGCTCTCAATCCATTCTCCACCCAGCCTGTACTTGTGCATGGGACCCACATGGAGGACCTTGCACTTGGCCTTGTTGAACTTCATGTGGTTCTCACAGGCCCATCTCTCCAGCCTGTCAAGGTTCCTCTGGATAGCATCCCTTCCCTCCAGCATGTCCACAACACCACACAGCTTGATGTCATCTGCAAACTTGCTGAGGGTGCACTCAATCCCACTGTCCATGTCTCCAACAAAGATGTTAAAAAGCACTGGCCCCAGTATTGACCCCTAAGTAACACCACTCGTCACTGGCCTCCACTTGGACATTGAACCGTTGACCACAACTCTTTGAGTGCGAACATCCAGCCAATTCCTTATCCACCGAGTGGTCCATCCATCAAAGCCATGTCTTTCCAGTTTAGAGACAAGCTTGTCGTGTGAGACAGTATCAAATGCTTTGAATAAGTCCAGGTAGACGATGTCAGTTGCTCTTCCCCTATCCATCAATGCTGTAACCTCATCATAGAAGGCCACCAAGTTAGTTGGGCAGGATTTGCCCTTAGTGAAGCCATGTTGGCTGTCACCAATCACCTCCTTATTTTCTATGTGCCTTAGCATAGTCGCCAGGAGGATCTGCTCCATGATCTTGCTGGGCACACAGGTGAGACTGACTGGCCTGTAGTTCCCTGGGTGGTCTTTTTTCCCCTTTTTAAAAATGGGGGCTATGTTTCCCCTTTTCCAATCATTGGGAACTTCACCAGACTGCCACGATTTCTGAAACATGCTGGTTAGTGGCTTAGCAACTTCATCTGCCAGCTCCCTCAGGACCCGTGGATGCACCTCATCAGGTCCCGTAGACTTGTGCACCTTCAGGTTCTTTAGGTGGTCTTGAACCTGATCTTCTCCTACAGTGCACGGTTCTTCACTCTCCCAGTCCCTGCCTTTGCCTTCTGTAGCTTGGGCTGTGCAGCTGAACAAGGTGTCTTGATGAGGAACTGGAGTTTCGGTTGAGCGTTAACTTCAGCTTTGTCAGCCCTGCTTCTTTTGCAAGGTGCTCTGTGGTAGATGGTGGGTAAACAAAATCTTGGGCTTGAGCTCCATAGCTGCTGTAGCTTCACCCAGCATACATGTCAGCTGCCTTGAAGCAAAAATAACTTTAACTTACATACAGCTGCTTGTGTACTGTGTGGTCTTCTCTGCTTTCATTGGTTCCAGAGTAAGGCAACTTTATCATTTGATAGTGCTAGCTGAGCTTTTAGGGTATGTGTGCCCAATTATGCATTGTAAATCCTGTGCTAAGTAGTTCTGGGGACTTTATCCAGTAAAAAGGAAAGCCAAAGTTCCCATGTATATTGACTATACTGGTCATCTTCTAAGTGGCATCTGCGAAAGTGTATTCTTCGTACAAACACATATGGGGCCCCTCACTGTTATCAGTGAGAATGAGTGAGACCTGAAAAGTTCGTGCTGCTTGACCATGGGATGCGATAGAATCTCAGTGACTTTGTATGGCAGCACTACAGACTAAAAGCAAGTGGATGTTTCTGGATTCCAAATACTTAGAGCCATTTGCTTTTTGATACCTTGGGACATCAAAAATCTAGAGGGCTTTGGGAAGAGGTTGAGGAATTTTTATAAACTCTCAGGCCGCCTTTATTTTAATGCTGTTCTTTCAGTCTAAAATCAATTTCTAAGCTACATTGAATGCTGGAACCTGAGATGGAGAGGATGGCTCCTCTTTGGATGAGCTACTGTCATAATTTTGTCTGGGCTGTTGATTGGAGGGTCTGCCTTCAGTCTTTTGTTGGAAACTGCATTGTGTTTCTGGAAGGAGTGTTGGAATGGATTTTGGTGATCTATTGGACTTGGCCTGTAGAGACGTAAATGTGAGAACTAACAGGCTTCAGTGCCTCCCATTATGCACTGGAGGGAGAGACTGGGGTGGAAGATAATGACAACTACAGCAGATACTGCCATACCAACTCTACAAATTGAGTCAAACCTTACCACCTTTATAACAGACTACTGCACATGCAAACTGTGTGTAAAAAGTGGTAGCACCTGTATAAATTGTGTATTATCTTACAGGTGGGAACCAGCGTGAACTTGCCCGCCAGAAGAACTTGAAGAAGACTCAGGAGATCCACAAAGGGAAAAGGAAAGAGGATAGCTTGTCTGCTTCACAGAGAAAACAGAGGTGAGATGTAATATGATTGAGTGAAATGATTGGGCAACATAGGAGGGGAAAATGGGTCAGAAAGAATCCAGTGTCTCAGCTGAAACAGCAGCATTTAAGTACTTTGCCCTGATTCACGGCCCGTTCACATGCCAGAGCATAAACTGTGCTTGTAGGTTTTACTGTGTCTGCTGCTAAACAGATTTATCTTTGGTAAGACCTGTAAAGCTTTTGTTTCTTTTGAAAAGGTTTTTGCCTGGTACAAACAGGGAAACATTGTGTTAATACTTTACTGACGATGTTTGATCCACTGCATTGTCCTTTACTTTTAAAACTAAATGAATTATGTAAGGTCTACTAATCAAGTAACTTGTCTGCCTCATGGAGTACTGTATGGAAAAAATGGGATAATAGAAACAGTGTGCTCATGGCTAACTGAGGTTTTTCTACTAATCTTTTTCCCTTCTTGAAATGGGGGTTGCTAAAGGGCAAAAACAAGCTGGAGGAGACTCTACTTAGAAAAACAAAAACAGTAAGCCAGTATCTGAAATCCAACTTTTTTTTTTTCACAGAGACTCTGAAATTATGCAGCAAAAACAAAAAGCGGCTAATGAAAGGAAGTCTCAGCAGGCAGGAGCAAAATGAGCTGCCTGTATGGAGAAGATGGAGTGCGACAATGAAGCAAAAGGCCGTAGAAGATCATTCGTTAAAGTGTCCAGCCATTAAATGATTTAATGTCTGTCTTGCAGAGTTGTTCAACTAGCAAATAGTTTAGAATATTTTCTGGTAGCATAGGCTTACTTGTCTGGACTGCTATTTCAAAACTGACTACACTTTTCTGCATGCATATGAATAAACGTACCAAGCAATAGCTTTACTTCAGCTTTTGCTGAATTTGTTGGTTTCACTTAATGGTTCCAGTGACAATGAATTTCTGCATCCACAGTTAGACGAGATTTTCTTGTCTTAATTCTTGAAGTGCAGCTTCATTCAGAATGGAACACACTTGAATAACGGTACAGAGGTCTGAACTGTAAATCTTGTCTTATTTTTACAATAAAATGTTGCATGAAATACTGTCTAATCTGAAGTGGTTATGCTTGATGATCAGTTGATTTCTAAGAAGTTACCAAGAACACAAAGAATAGACAGAATTGTGGAGAAATGTGACATAAATAAGTCAGTATAATACAAGTATAAATCAAATTAATAAGAAATGCATATGTAAGCAATATAATACACAGAGGTAAGTCTGCACTACAGAAAGATGCCCGTCTAGCTGCAGGCTTCGTCGGTGCATGTAACTGGCTGTGAATCTGCTACTGATGCCAACTTTAGAGAAGCTGGAGGCTTGGAGTTAATGAGTTGCAGTTGTAAAGAGATCTCTAAATCGCTGCTTAAATGAGCCTGAAGAATAAAACTTAGTATGAGAGACAGCATTTGCTTTACAGACATGCGTGAGCATGTGGAGTACTGACTGAGGTGAAACTGGTGAGCTTTGAAGCCTCTGCTTGTGTGAGCCCTCGTAGATCAAAGTGCACTTATTGCTAACAGGCCTCTGGCACCGCTGGGGGAGTGTCCGAAGGAAAAGGTCGCTGTTTCTGGCAATGTAATACCTGTGAAACGAAGCAGGCGTTGGTTGGTTGGTTGGGTTTTTTTTCCCCCTTGCTCTTAGTGGGCCCGGTCTTGGCTCCTGCTCTCAGCTTTGCCAGGCTTTTCAAGGCGAGTTTCACGGGCGTGAGGCCGGGGCCCTCGCGCTAGGCACAGCCGAACTTCCCCCGGGAGAGGCCGGCGCGCCGCGACAGCTGGGGGCCGTTATCACGGAAATCGAGCGCTCGGCCGCCTCCCGCGCGGTGTCCCCGACACGG